ACAGAGTCAAAATCACCATCCCAAGGCAGCAAACGTGGTCAGTCAATCCATAGCTTGGCAATCACTTAGAATCTGTTTGTTTGACAAACTTCTCTCTGTTCTTCCCACCTATATATATTACCATGGCCACCTCCCTTGTAAGGGGTGAGGCATAAACAGAAGGGCATAAACCAAAGTAGTAACTCAACTAAAAACCTTCATCTCAACAATTTGCCCACAAGGCTTGGGGACCGAGGAAAATAGACCCAAACTTTCTTGGCTGGATCTAAGCCTTGCCTAGAGCCATGATGAGAGAAAGTGATGGAAGCAAGAGGAGAGGATGCAGTGCTGAAAGGAAAATAGAAAAATGCAAGCTGTGAGCCTTTCCATTCTCCCAGGTGAAGGCCAGCACCTCTTCCTGCCCCACAGCAGCATCCAAGCATGCCCTTGGTGCTAAAAAAAAATGGTTATCACTGGGGGATGTTAGTGGGCACATCAGCAGCACCTACAGGGTTGTCATTGCTGCTGCTGTGGTTCAGGCAGGAATTGCTGATATTTACAGTGGATACCATGGTGGTTTAAGCAGCATTTGGGTTTAGGAGCCATTACATTATTGTGAAATATGCACACTGTTGGTGGATGCTGAAAGTGCTGCTACGCTGTGGCATAAACTCAGTATTAATTTTGGCTCCACAGAGGAAATTGAAAATGGTGCCCTTGAAATCATTATGCTGAGCGGAATTCAGCAACAGGGGAAAAGACAGCCTGGAGGGAAATAAGAGAAAATTTACTTCAGGCAGCCAAAAAGACCCCATGGGACTCACTCAGTCCAAGCTCAGGGATGTGGAGGATGTGGGGGCTCCAGCATCAGAGCCCCACACCATTGCTGTGCCTTCCTTAGCCCCAGCTGCTAGAAACCCTGAGAGCCCCTGGGGATGATGTTGTGCCTGTGAAGTGTCATTTGCTCTAATTTTAGCCCTGTTTATGTAACTGCTGTGTGATGGGAAGGTGCCACACTCCTGGAGGGGCTGTGCTGAGGACAAAGCCTGTACCCACACCCTTAGGGCAGGACCCTTGTCTGCCAGGGCCTTCTGTCCCATGCACTGGATGCAGGCAGAACCTGAAAGGATTTTACCTGAGTCTTACAGGCTGTATGCTGACAGCCAGTAGATTATATAAATACATGTATATAAATACATGTTTATATATACATATATATATATGTATGTGTTTTTTTCAAATCTGTAATATCAATAATACATAAAAAAATAAAGAAACCTACTTCAACTGTCACCCCAAAACATCCTTCCCACTGACTGCACATGTCCTGACCTCTCTGGAAACAGCTTTGCAGAACCCAAATGATCAGCCCTGGTCTGTGGGCACAAGGGATTCAAAGTCTGTTTGAATGAGCATCAGAAATAAGTGGGGTTTATTGAACTGAGATAAATTCTTGGAACTCATCCATGTAGAAAGGAAATGCTCAGAATTCATCTGAGAGTTGACTCAGACCTGCCCTTTCAACCCCATATCCTGACATTACAACCTGTCTATAAAAGAAAAAAAAAACAATAAGAAGAAAAAAATTCTCTACTGGGGCTTCAACATATAGCAGAACTGAGCCCAGAGAAAGAGGAAACAGAAAACTACAGCCCTTGAATAGCTCCATGGGAACCACTGCTGGTGTGTGCTCTCCTTCTCTGGCTTAGCAGAGCAAAGCCCTGCAGCTGGAGCTGAAACAAGGACCTAGCTCTACGCCCAGCTCTACCTGGCCCCGTGGGACCACAGTCACAGACATTTTAGTGGGAGCTGAGAGGGGAAGCAGCTGTTCCCACTGCCCCAAAGCCTGTGATGAGCAGCAGGGGTGTCTCCAGCACAGCAGCATCCCTGGTCTCCTCAGCTCATTCCCCACAGCTGTGGGGTGCAGCCATGGTGTGATGGAGCTGGGACAGGGGCTCCCACGCCTGGGGGGACAATCCCCACCAGCTTTTGGAGGAAAGCTGTGAGCAATCAGTGGATTTTCTTGTTCTCTCCCAGGATTTGCAGAAGCAGAGGTCTGGCTTGGTATGGCTCAGATTAGTTTTCATATATATAAAATTCTGCTGGCAACACAGCTGCCCTTTATTTAATGCAGATTGTGTGCACTCCCCAAGTAGAGAAACCATTACCTCACTGACTGGATACGACTTCTCAGCTCCCTGCCTTCAATAAAAATTCTAACACCTGCAAACTTTTTAAACAAATTATGTACATTAGAGCAGAAGCCCTTCCCCCCTCCAGGTTCTCCTGAACTTGCAGCCGTGTGTCTTGAAACCAAATCCTCTCTAAGACATCTGGTCTGTGCTGGTGTGGTTATTACAGGCTCCCCTGTGGTGCTGTGGCACCAAGCCCATGGACCTGCTCCACAAAGGCCAGGGCTCCCTCTGCCATGCTGGGAATCCAATGGATCACTTTCAAGAGTGCCTTAAGAAAGAAAAACACAAGCATTTCTGTGTGTAAATGCAAAAGGATGGACAGCAAAGGGTGAATCCTCAGCTTGCTTCTGCAGGTGTGGATACTGATGTTAGATGCTGAAACACCTCAGAGAAGCTTTTATCATAAATCTGTGCATAGGGGTACAAGAAAAATGTCTGGGCTGCAGAGACCAATAGGCAGGGGAGAACAGAGGTCTCCAGTTTGTATTCCTGGGTGCAGCCCTCTGAAAAGCTGCTTTGCCTCCTCACCCCAGCAGTAAAAGGTGTGCACTTGAGCTCTTGAGCAGCTGCTAACTAAAAGCCAAGCATGTTTCCACCAGACCCAGCACCCAGAAGTGCTTAATTCAGGTGTGTGCCAACAGATTTGCTAGAGCAGGGCTCAGTAAAAGGCTCATTCATCTGAAGAAACCCAAACTTGTTTTCTTTTCCCCCAGATCTTCAGAGAATAATTCCCTTCCCAACAATAACCTGAAAGAATGAGAAAAGAGCTGCAGCCCCCCACGTCTCCCCATATCCTTGTGCAGCAGGAAAGCCCACGTGGAAACTTCACGAGCAACCTTTGCTCAGTGACATTTCCAGCCCAGTCACTAGGTCAGAGAGAGCATGGACAAGTTTAATTAAACATCCAGACTGTCTGGTGTTGCTTTATTATCACCTGAGCCTTCCCACTGCTTCTCAAGTGAGACCTGAGGCACAGAATCCTGAAAACGAATTAACAAGTTTATTTTGGTTGATTGACCCAGACTTTGGAGCCATAGGAGAAAGAACAAGGGCTTGAAGTTCAGCAGAGCTCGGTGCCAAGTATCACTCCTCAGTGACAGCTCAGAGCTCAGCAGGAGATGCTTGACTTTCCCTACCCAAAGTCCTGTCACCGGCAGCCTGTGCAAACCATGCAAATGCTGCAATTAGTATCAGAGATAAACCAGATCCATTAGTAGATGGAAGGGGAACTCAATCTGTTTTACAAATGGAAATGAAGTAGCAGCCTCAATTATAGGATTTTTAAAAACATGCAATTTAGCAAAATGTTGATTTCCTTTTCGTTTACTTCGTTCTTTGTCTTTCAGATACTTCAGCTCAAGTAGCAGGCAGTATATTAAACGACCAGATTTTGGCAATGTATTTAATAATCAAGCTCAAATAAGTGCTCTTAGGAAATAATTTTATTTACAGTTCATCTGGGGAAGAATATTAAAGCTTGAGGATTTGGCTAAAATTATTACCCTGCAGTAACATATTCTGAAGGAAGGCACTTGGGCCATGGATGACTTGTACTGGTGAGTCAGAGCACAGCATTTGACCTCTCCAAAAACTCATCATCTATTTGGGACACAGGACGAGATTTGTCCTCCAGCTTCCCCCAGCCAGGATGGGCAGTCACCACCACAACAGCTTTAGCACCTCCCTGACCCTGCTGCACCCTGAGCCCAGCAGGGAAGTTCTGGGGTTCCTGGCAAGCAGCTGAATCATTCCTCATCCACCAGATTCCCTCCTCCATACGGTTGCTTTATGCTCAGATATATATTCACCACATATTCTGCAGCAAGGCTGGAGTTTGGGAATGCAACATCAAGATATTTCAGCATGTATATGCCTGTATAACAACTTTGTTTTTTAATTGGTCCAGCCCACGTTACTGTTTAAATAATTGAAGGTGCTCAGCATTAAACATATTTTGCCATACTTTCCCCATGGCACCTTTCCCACTCCAAACTGGAAGCTGAACAGAGACTAAGCATTAACTAATTAAATTTCTCAAAACAAAGGTTAATTAGTGTGTTTATTTTGGATTATGTATGTATTGAATTATTAAACACTGTATGGTACCATAAAAAAAAAAAAAAAAAAAAAAGAAAGAAAGATAGAAAAAGGGCAGGCTGAAAGGAGGAAACATTCTGAAGCCCAAGGAACATTAACCATTTGTTCACAACCCCAGCATGTGCCTAAAAAACAAAGGGTCTTTCTTTAAGGCTAAAAGCAAAAGCCCTCCCAATCCAGAAGGAAGGTCCAGCAGCCCTGAGCTGTGACTATGGCAGACTCATGTCATTTTAGGATCATGCACAGGGGAGCTGCACAGATCCCATATTCAGCTCAGGAAATGTGGTGCTGGACACCTCACCTGACACATCTGCTCCTCTTCCAGCCCTGTCTGCTGTGCCTGACACAGCAGCCACTGAGCACCAGAGGTCCCTCCCAGGGCCTGTCAAACAGCAGCGTTTCTCTTCTCCCTCCAAACCACCCCCTCTCCTTTTTGGTCCCAAGGTGGAAAGTTTGCAACATGCAGCTCATCTGCCAAATACTTAAATGCACAATTATCTGCCTGCAGGCCAAAGAAATGACTGGAGTCCAAGAGCCAGACCACACTAAAAGAAACAAGCTGGTGAAGATTCACCCTGATTCCAGTTCTCACTCACACACTGGCCCTATAGCTGAAACATCAATCCCAAAGGATATATGGACAAACCACTGGCAACAAACCAGAGGTAGGAAGATACAGGCTAATACCCATCACGTTGTAATAACCTGGCAGTGTGCAAATACACCTACCTGCCCCAAGAGGACGGCACACAGGGCACTGTTGTCAAAGCACAAAGGAATCTAAAAAGCTTGCTTGGCTTCTTGAGATTATTATGTAAAGCAGCACTTCACATATGCCTGGCCTACAGCAACGGGAACAGTGTCAGGTTTATCTACGTGAGCATTTCCAGCATGCCTGTCATGGTGGGTTTGTGATTCATTCTGTCTGAAGAGTCTTATGACAGATGATATGAGAGCCCTTCTTCATCACCAGAATAAGGCTCTGCATTTCAGCTTTCAGCTTATTTTCTGTACAAACAAGAGTCCTGAGTCAGTTACAAAATTAATTTCTTCCTTCAAAGCATCCTCCATTGCTGCAGTGAGCAATAACCTGTGTTGCTGCCCAAACAGCAAACAAAAAGTGGACTCACAAGCACTTCTCAGATGAGTGATGATCCCTGATTTGTGCTTACCTAGAAGCCAGCCAACACCTATAAAAGTGTGTTCCCTGTTGCCCCATGTAAATACAACATAAAGTTCAATATAATATTGGAGATGCAGCTTCCCAGGACTCTGTCAGATGAACTCTGCAGGAACTTGGGGCTGAAAAGGACAGTTCACTGAGGATGGGTGTCAGAAGCAAAAATGGGTCAGTTCCTGCTTTATCACTTTGCAATTGCTGGAGCACTATCAGGAGGTGCAATCAGAGCTGCAGCTGACACCTCCAGAGGAGCCATAAGTGGCTTCAGCTGCTTGTTCTCACCCCGATGTCCTATTCCTATCCTTTGAGGTCAGAATTCCTCCTCAGTCCTGAATCTCTGCTGGATTGCCAGTTATTTGTCACCAGACTTGTTTTTTCAGATTCATTACTTGATCAGGGGGCCAAAGTGGATAAACTCATTTTACAGCCATTGCTTATGAAGGAATGCAAATAAAATTGTCTCTCTGAGCGTTTTTTCCCTTTTGCTTAATATTTTTTCAAATGCATTTTTATCAAGGAAATTGTCTTTCTGAAGATCTAGGAAGGCAAACCTAATTAAAGCAACTTTATTGAGGGACCTGATACCAACATCTGCTTTAAAGACAAACCTCCCTTCTTTTTAAATTCAAATATTTTTGTTCTGCAGTAGAAGCAAAAACGTATCTTTGAATGACAGATATCTCAGAAATCTGCTTTCATTCCCCTTTTCTCCTTCCCTGATGATCTTAGGTTTCACATTCACACCCTTTGGGAAAATTGCCTGGGAAACTTTTCTGATAATTCACTGAAGGTCATCTACAGTAAATGTGGTACAAAGTGAACCCAGATCTCAGGCTTTGCAAATGTTCATTATGTAAATTACAGGAGCTGTGAAGATGGAAATGAGGCATACAGATGCTGTTATGCACGAAAAAGCAGAGAGGAAACTTCAGACTTCCCTTCACTACAGAGGCAGTTGCTGTCTGTAGGCACTCTCCTTCCTCCCCATGATTATTTCCAGCATTAAAAGGCCCCAGGTTCTCTGTGGCTGTCAGTTCAGGAATGACTGGCTCTGTGCTCCTCCATGTAGGTGAAGGACTGGGATAGATCTTTAAGTTCTTTAAATTCCCCCACACATCTGGGGAGAATCAGGGGACAAATGCAGCTGTGACCTGGATGGGAGGGTGAGGCGAGGGCGCCTGTGCATTTATGAATTCCCATCCTCGACCTGTATTTCTGGGATTAGTCTGGTTGACTGCCTCAGCCAGGGCTAGTCCTGAGGAGCAATGTATCTGTGTTCTGAATTGCAGTGCAGAGACGATCAAGTGGAGGAGATAAAGATTCAGCCTTGATTTCGTGCATCCTCGGGCACATTACTTGGAGGACAGATTTTGAAAGATGTTAGAGATCAAAGGATGAAGAAAGATAACCAGCTTCATTTTCAGCTCTATTCCTGGGCATGTGTTTCCTGAACATTTCAATAGGAAATATGCATTTTTGTGCTTTTTAAAAAAAAAATCTAAATGCCTTTGGGTAGGTGGTTTCATCATGAGGAGCCAGCATACATTTAAGTGGCAGATTTTAAATTGCACATTGTTTCAGTTTCCTGCTAGGGGAGCGTAAGTTCCCTTTTCTTTGATTTCTCCCAGGTCTTGTTCAGGTTTGATGCACAATTCTCCTCTAAACAATAAATACCATTAAAGACACTCCAAGCCTGATTTCAAGCAGCGATGAGTGCTCAGCCAGTAACAGAAGCTACTGGTGTTCAGCTCTGCTGAAACTCAGCTGCTGCGTCCCATGTTCAGTTCCTCAAAAATGAAGACATCAAAAACTCGAGACTGCTTTTGGTAATTTTGCTCTTAAAGCTCAGGAGGGAAGCTGTGATGCAGACATATTGATGATGAGGTGGAAGGACAATGCCCAGCCAGGTGTTCTCCTGTCAAAGGACTGGCACTATCCAGGGCAGATGGAGTGGGAGAGATGAGCTGAGACTTCCCCCACCAACCTCGCCATAAATATGCTGTGACCTGCAGCAAAAAAAGCAAGAAAGAAAGGAGAGGAGCAGTAAGACAACACAGGAAGGGAAATTCCAACTCCCTAACCTTGGGACAACCTCACCCTGCATGTTAACAGACAAACAAACAGGAGAAAAAATATGAAATTGCCTCAAAATGGAAAAAAAAAAAAAAAAGACAGAAAGAAAAGATTTGTTGAGTCATCCAACATGTTCGAATCAAGATATTTTCTTAGCAACTGTGCTAAAAGACTAAATGTAACACATTCTGGTTTGGCTTTTCCTTCAGCAGCAAGATTTATTTGCATTCACACATGGGGATCTGGTTTACAATAAGGTTCTCCAGCCCTTTCCCTTCCTTCATTGTTTCTATCGTGCATCTTGGATAGAAAATCTCCTTTGGTGAAAAAATCCACACCAGACAACCCCGGGGCAGACCATGCCCCACCATGAACATCTCTGCTTGGAGAGGTTTTTGTCTGCAGGGCTGTTTAGAGAAGCAGGAAGGTTTTGCCCTTGGCCCCGTGCTGCAGAGCCTCACTCCCCAAGAGGAGGAACTTGTCCTCCACCAGCCCCAGGTTTCGCAATGCACTTAGGACACATCTTGCACTGGCCTTGATTTATGCAGAACTGTTGGCTAATCTCTTTTATGTAATCACTGATAGCTGTTCCTAAAGGCTAAGTCCCCAAAATGGAAGGAATGAATTAAAGGAGACAGATGTGGTTTGGCCGGCTCTATGTTCTGATTACAGCCTCGTTAGTTTGTGCCGATTCAAGCAGGGGCTCAACCACACTGCACACCCACCCCAGCAGGAACACTCAGCTTTCTGCCCTGCAGCCCAGCTTCACAGTCTGATCCCACTCACCCCAAAGCCACTGGAATCACTCCAGGTTTATTCTGCTGAAATGCGATCAAAGTCTGGCCAAAAGTCGCCTGAGTTTTTGTTTACCCCAGATCCCCTTGCTTGGCAGTGCTGCAGGCTTTGGGAGCTAAAGGAATGCCATTCCCCCACAGAGCTGGCTGCCTCTGGTCACCCAGAAAGACTCGGGGAAGGTAAAAGTCCGGAAGTTCCTTCTGCACCATCTCCAGGTCGAGAATGAACCCGAGCTCAGTGACCCACTTGGCCCCCGTGGCTGCACATTGCCCGTGTCTGCAGGCACAACGGGATCCTGAAGGAATGATATTCCCAGCACGTCTGTGATGCACAGACCTGTCCATCAAACAGGCATTCGGGGGTGGGCAGGGTGCGAACAAGCCTGGTGAGAGACTCAAAATCCTGGGAGAGAAGAAGATGCAGTGTCTGCTCAGCCATCCCTCCTTCCCCACTTAGAAGATGCCTTTTGTTTTAGGGACGGAGCCACAGCCTGGCTTGCACACCCTGGTGGGAGACCCTCCTCAAACCCTCTTCTTTAATTTTTCCCCATGGAAAAATATTGCCCAGCATGGCTGCATTTAGATTCCCTTCCTTCACCAAAGCTGCCCTGCCGTGGCCAACTTCAGGGGTAGCTGGACCAGTCCCACAAGCCTTAGAGAATTATTTCCCAGTTTATGTAAACTGAGCACCAGCTCAGTAAAAACAGGAAAGATTTATGCTTGGCAAACATTTCCAAGGAGCCAATATTTCCCTGTTACTTACTCGTGGATTGTGAATACAAACTTCACACAGCTGGTACCTCCACTAATGATCCCATTACAATATGTATTGAGCTGATATTCTGTGATTTCTCATTGAGGTATTCATCCATGTCAGAAAGGATTTGTCCATAAAAACATCTCCTCTCACACCATCATAGGATGCTGCATTCATTCCTCCTTCCTCTGTCATCTGATGCTGCCTAATCCCACTCACCGACATCAATCACGGGGAAAATAAAACAATTAACTGGCAATTAATTAAATTATAAACTGTAAGGAAGAGCAGAATATTTGTAAACCTTAATAGCCTTATTAACATGCACATTACCAGCCAGTTGGACAATCCTACAGCCTGCTGCTGGGGTGGTACAGGTGCTTTACACCTCCCTTCCTGCAGAAAGCTGGAGTGAGGATCCACAGAGCACGAGCTGTGGCTCCTGTGCCTTCGGGACACAAGGGTGTGAGGATGGCAATTCTCCCTGTTTCCTGCACAAAACAGGCATCTCAAGGGGTGTGGAGGCAGTAGGGAGCTCTGCCCTGGGCTCTTCAGATGAGTGTATTGACCTGCAACAACGCAGAGGTGACAGCCACCCTGCCCAGGGCTCCCTGAGGGATGGAGCAGGCACCCACCCATCAGGACTGGTGAGCCTCGGCTCCAGCCCAGGGGGGATATTGGCATTTCTGCTGCAGGAACACATCTTGGGACAGGACCTGAAAACCCACCAGTGACAGAAACAGTGGATTGTTGTTATAAAGCACACATGCAATGTGACTTTGGTTAAAGCTGTTTCCTGGAGGACTAAAGAAAAGTAAGTAGGGAAAAAACAAGGGCAGGTCAGGCACCTTCTGCAAGGTCACAGCAGCTCTTGCTGCTCTTGGTGGCAGAGACTCCATCACTGGGGAACTGGGCTCAGAGCTTAATGCAGCAAGTAACAGGCCTGACCTCTGTTTGAATGTCATGAGACAGGAGGAAAAATCCAATCCAACACAAGCCATGAGTGATGTATGAAGCCACAGACAGACCCAGATGGGATGGGGTACCAGGACCAAAGGCATTGCAGTGCTCATGTTGGTACAGCATCCCTGCCTGGTCCTCAGGTCCCCTGGGAATAACCTGTACACAACATCCTCAGAGTTTTCTCACTTTTTCCATACTATTTCTACACTGGTTTTTCTTGGAAAGGTGACCAAATCAGTCCATCCAATATACACTAAACCCTTGACTTCTTCTTAGTCTATTTGTTCTGAAAGAAGTACCATGTGAAGCACGAGAGTGACCTACTAAAGCAGGGAAATTAATGTGTAGAAGATGGATGGAGCTGTAAATCAAGTCTGCCTCCAAGAGCAGGTATAGCCCATCGAGGCCCTGCCATCTGCCCTCTCTCCCAATCAGCCACATCCCAAATCTCAGCTGTGTTAACTCTGGTTCCAGTCCAGCGTTATTTCTGTAACACGTGAACTGGGATGACATGCACCCAGCCCGTTCATTTATTTGTGGAGTGTGGACTGCTGACTGATGGCCAAGTGCTAATAAAAGCAGTGCTCTCCCTCCTGTGCCATTCCATGCTGGATACTGGCGGCGGGCTGGACCTCTGGGCACACGGCGCTCGCTGGGAGCAGCCGGGGCTGTCAGTGAGCAGCACCTTCACATTTTCATTCTTAATTTTGATGGATCTGCAATACCACATTGTTTTCTCTCCCAGTTGGGCTCTATATTTAGCCATGGGTTCTGTCCTCAGCGTGTGTTTTCTGGTGAGGTTGGTAGCTAGCGCTGCTCTGCTGTCGGAACGCCTGTCTCCCTTGTCAAAGCGCGGCTGTTTTGGGAATGCGTGAGGCAGTCAGATGTGACAGAAGCTGAGAGGTTTCTTTCACAGCTAGGAGGGGAGAGGAGGGAGCCAAGCACTTCCATACCCACCCTAGGAGCTCCGGTCCCCTGGGAGGGCTGGAATCTGATGCTGGCTGGCACTGGGAACACCCACGTTCCGCTAACCTGACTGCAGTGTTCACTGCAAGATAATTGCCTCTGAGGAGGCGTTACAGCAAGAAGAAAAAATAAAAGTCAATCAAAGAAGGTGGGACATCAGACATTTTAAAAATAACGCAGGGTGAAGCTCCAAGAAGCTGCAATGACCAGGGGACAGATCTGGATTCCCAGAGCCCAGCTCACGTCCAGGGTATTGCTGACCTCTGTGGAGTCTGCTGGGCTGGCGCTGAGGCCAGTGAGATCAGGGTCTGGCCCAAATGGCCTGGCCTCCCGCTGCACCCCTGCTGTAACTATCCAGCATGCTGACACATTCAACTTGCCACTCGTTTGTGGGCCTAATTACGCATTCGCATTTGTCTGCACTCGCTGGGCTCCTAGCAACTGCAGTCACAGTCCTAATTAAAATAATAGACTGAGATTGGTAACATTACTGATTTAACAGGAAATTAGAAGAGTTACGTTCGCAGAGTTTAGGTAATTGACACCAACAGCGCTTTCGTTGTAACGGGTGTTCTGTGATTGATTTGGTTCCCCAGTCAGACCTAAAAGCAGCCTGGGAGCACATCCCACCATCAGATTACAGTACAGGGGAATTAAATGGCTATTACACCACTGCCTGCTCTAGAGCTGGCAGCTGCGGGCTCGGGCACGGCTTCGAGCTTCCAAATCAAACATTAGCCCTAAAATTATAAAGCCTCATGTAAAACAAAACTTCTTCAGCACAACACGTTCAGTTCTCCTCACGCGAGTGTCCCTGCATGGTACCCATCTGACCCTCCTGCCTGGGGAGGGGGCTGCAGGCAGCACAGGAGCAGCTCCTGCATCCTGGCATGTCTCAAATACCAATGTCCTGGAGGTACCACAGGTTCCCATAGGCAGACAGAAAGGCTCCGAGCACACTGGTGACTGTGGAATATTCTGGGCACACAGTGGTGGAGCTCAGAGCAGGTGGTGATGGGGAACGTTCAAGGTGTGTGAGATTTCATGGCCATGTTGAAGGGAGAAGGGTTCCCTGTGCTAAATCCATCCTGAAGTTCTGTGTGTGGATAATTTTCACAGGCAGCAACATTCTTTCATTCTCTTTCTCTCAGAAAGAGAATTGGATTTCTGGAGATGGCCCTGCTCGTTCCCACAGTGCTGTAAGCCCAGCTGGGTCCATATGACCCTCAGAAAGATGACTCAGTGACTTTCTTCTGTTAAGGAAACTTCTGACTCCACAGTCTTAGAAAGGTTCGGGTTGGAAGGGACCTTAAAGATCATATAAGTTTGAATCCCCCTACCTGGTATCTTGTGTTGCCACCCCACAGCCTGGGCCCACAAGGGCAGATGGATTTCTAACCTGCCCTGGATGTCACATTTCCTCCAATTCCCTCCAGTGACAAGGCTGAGCTGTCCCACAGGTTCCCTACGCAGCGTTGTGCTGGGTAGTTCCCGAAGGTCAGACCTGAAAAATGAGGAGAGTGAGAATGGATAGTTCAGGGAGATTCCAGGGGTGAGGAAAGGGGTGTCCAAAGGGTTTACACAGT